CCAATCAAAACCACACCCGGTTAACTCAATCGGTAAAGCATTAGACTCTTACAAGTACACGATCTCAAAGTTGCGGGTTCGACCCCCGCATCGGGCTGTTCCTATATTTCGATTGCGAGCGTTAGCGAGGCTTTCTTTTTTTTGCATTTTCGTGCTTCGTGAGATTCAATCGAGCATGCTCTCTGGTATCATGATGGTGTTCTTCGTACCGTTTGTGTGAAACATTGACACAACTTTCACCACTATGTTGTGGCGGATGTCAATGAAAGAAGCCAAATAGTATTTACCTGTTCTCCTGACGATGTTCAATATCGTTGGCCTCGTCAGCTTCTCAGTTTCTCATCATGACAAGCATTGAACCGCTAATACACAGGGGGAATTCCATATCATGACCATCCACAATCACGTGTTATGATACCGCATGGTTTTTTGAATCTTGCATCTCCGCACAAGAACCAAAACCACGGAATTCCATCCTTCACGGCAGATCATCTTATCGCTCACACTCTCAAATAACGTGCTTTATCGCAATTCTGACATCTCCGGTTGCGGCCCGCGGAAGTCGGCGATTGCGCTATAAACAGTGTCTTTGGTGCCCGCCGACAGGCCGATTAGAGAGATGGCGTGAGTTTGAACCAATGACATGAGCTTGATTTGGAGTTCGTGGAGGGGGAGGGGCAATAGGGTAACTTTTTTTTCTATCGGCTCATGAGGGAGGAGCAGGGGTTCGGTCAGGGTCTATAGTTCATGGGGAGCTCTTTTATAAGCCGTCCGAGTCTCGCCGTCGCGATATTTGGTGCGTTGTGTTGAGGTGAATATTATTTTTATTTTTATTTTTATTTTGATTCTGTATAAGCAGATCAAATACTCGAAATGGAACAAACGATACCATCATCGCTTCTTGCAGCTCTGAACTGCAGAGGCAACACTCATCTCGTTATTGGTACAAACCCGCTCGCAGGGACTCGATGTACCCAGTCTCTAAGCTCTGGCGCAAAACCTATCCTTATTGCCCCCGAAGGCGCTGAGCTTCACTATGCTCTACAGAAGAAAGTCGACGATGGCAGTGTCCAATGGCACAAGAAGCAATTCGAAGACGCCGATTTGCTAAGGCTCGGCCGCGAGGAAGTAGGTGGTGTAGTAGACGCTGTCTTTGTCACTTCAGGACCACGAGACCCTCAAAGTATGCCTTTTTCTCAATTCCAAAGAGAATAAATATACTAACAATAGCACCAGGCATTCATATTTCTGCGCTCTGTAAACGAAACCGCATTCCCGTAAACGTCGTTGACGCCCCTCAACTCTGCACATTCTCACTCCTCTCGACACATACCGACGGCCCGCTCCAGATCGGCGTCACTACTAATGGCCGTGGCTGTAAGCTAGCCTCGCGGATTCGTCGTGACATTGCCGCTTCTCTCCCGGTCAATCTTGGCGCTGCCTGTACACGCCTCGGAGACGTACGCCGTCGCATCCATGATGAGGATTCCCTAGGCGCTCAAGACGACCCCGCCTCTCTCGATGACTCCTTTGATCAAACCGCCCAATTCAATCGGTTGATTACCGAGGAGGATGCGAAGAACAGAAGGGTGCGCTGGTTGAGCCAGGTTTGCGAATACTGGCCTCTCAAGCGCCTCGCTGCTATCACCGACAACGACGTTGAGACGGTTCTCAAGTCGTACCCAGGCAATGGTCCCGATATCAAGCGTGATCCTGGTACACCAGAGAAGCGTGTTGGTACAATTATTCTCGCCGGTAGCGGGCCTGGTCACCCAGATCTCCTTACCCAAGCTACTCATAAGGCCATTAAGTCTGCTGATCTTATTCTCGCTGATAAGTTGGTTCCTTCTGGTGTCCTTGACCTTATTCCCCGCCGTACCTCTGTTCAGATCGCCCGCAAGTTTCCTGGCAACGCAGACCGCGCCCAAGAAGAGCTTCTCGAGATGGCACTCGCTGGAGTTCAAGAGGGCAAGACAGTCTTGCGTCTCAAGCAGGGAGACCCATACGTATATGGACGTGGTGGTGAGGAAGTTGCTTACTTCCGTCAACATGGCTTTGGAGACAGGGTGTCTGTCCTACCTGGAGTTACCAGCGCTCTCAGTGCACCTCTCTTTGCTGCTATCCCCCCAACTCAACGTGATGTCGCCGACCAAATACTTATCTGCACTGGCACAGGTAAGAAGGGCAAGGCTCCTTCGCCACCTGAGTTTGTGCCTAGCCGCACCGTGGTCTTTCTCATGGCTCTGCACCGCATCAACGGTCTCATTCGTGAGCTCACTACTCACATCGAACTTGAGCCTCTTGCTCCAGCTAATGAAGAAGCTGCTTCGGCACAGCCCCCTCCTCCTCCAGAACATTCGCAAGTCTCGCACGTAACAGGCGAGAGCAAGCGAGTACTCTGGCCCCGCAACACCCCATGCGCTGTTATTGAGCGTGCCAGTTGTCCTGATCAGCGAGTTATTAGAACAACGCTTGAGCATGTTGCTGAGGCTATTGAGACAGAGGGCAGCCGACCTCCAGGTCTCTTGGTTGTTGGACGATCCTGCGAGACTCTATTTACCCCTGAAAAAGGCCGAGCTTGGGTCGTCGAGGAAGGATTTAGAGGGATGGAGATAGAAGATTTCACTGTCGGCTTTGAGGCCCTGCAAGCATGATTCATGATATCCTGTATGTTTTCGTTTGGAGTTTACGCGAGCACAGTAAAATTGGCATAGCTGGAGTTAGGTAGATTTGGATATTGTTTTTCTATAGACTCATATCAACTTTGATCATTTCTAGTCGTCCTGCATTTACTCTGGACGCGAGCGCTTGGCACACGGAAGCGCATCATCGTCGTCGTCCGACGGCCTTTTGCTTGCCAAGGTTTGTCGCAGGTCTTCCTGTCCAGGCTTCTCTAATAGAACCAGCTCTTTGTACTTCTCGTCGCCCAGAAAGCTTCTCATGTAGTCGCCTCTCAACCCACGGAGTTGGCTCTCTACTGCTCGAAAGCCTTCTTGCCAACCACGCAATTCCTTGTCGAAATTTGTTCCCCTCTTTGTGACCGTCAGCTTGTACTTCGAGTCAACTTCTACCTTCTTGAGTGAGTAGATCGGATCTCTTAAACGGTACTCGAGATGGTTCAGGCGTGTGCGGTCGATTAAAGATTCCCATTCTTGCTGTTCTGGATCCTCAAGGAAAGCATTAAGGCCTTGGCAGTCTTCGCACTCAGTCTTCTCTGAACAAGGAGACTTTTTATGAGCCCAGCCTGCCAGTTCGTCTGGTCGAGAATCGATCGGGCGATGGAGTACCTCTCGCAGCGAAATTTCCCAAAAATCCTGCACTGCTGGAAGTGGGGGTACCTTGTTTGCCTCCAGAATCTTCAGAAGGGGTACAAGAAAGTTATTATATATGCCGTAGTTGTGGTCTGGGAGCCAGACCTCCTTATTCTTATTGAAAGTCTTACAGTTCAACTCCAATACCCGCAAGGCTTCTTGTCCGGCACAGTTGAGATAGGCTTCTTTCAGAAGTTCGGTAAGCTCCATGCACACAGACCACCCAACCCAGAACGAATGAGATTTGAGCTCTTCCACTGACGGACACAGTTGCTTTCCAGCACACTCGAGGGTGGAATTGTAGAGCTCAGAGGATTTCTTGAAAGAGCCAGTCCTCTCCGATGAAATCTCCCGTAGAAGACAAAGCAAAAGAGATTTCTCAGCTTTCGGTACGATTTTCTGAAGAAAGCTGTTGGCGGCGTCAGTGAATTGTTCCTCTTATACCACCTCTCCAAAACATCTCTCGCTGACTTACGTTTGCTTTATCCATTCTTCATCACCACTGCGTAACTTTAGAAGGTTGAGAATGAATCCTCTATGGTTGTGTTTCCATGAAGATTGTGATTGTATCTTTTCTTCAAAAATTGGATCTTTCCACGCCTGGAAACTCTCGAGAAGAGGGGAATGCGTTGTCGATGACTTGAACGCAACACAAAATTCATCGAATGCTTCAGCTGGAACATCACCATGGGCGAGATGTTGGAGCCTATTGTCATTGTGTCAACATCATGATTTCCCTGACACCGTGCGACCAGTTCGACCTACCAATGATTCCAATCGATCACTTGTTCTTTTCCGTCGCAGTGCTTTCTCAAGTGACCTACAAGCGCTTGGCTAATGTCCTTTCCATAACCTTGGAAGTCCCTTCTTAAACATTTCTGGAAAATTTGCATGTTTTCGAGCTCCAAAGCACACTTTGAGATGGGGCCGGGAATACCTCCTCTTTGTAGCCAGGGCCGTCTCGCGGCACCCAAAACGGTCTCTATGAATGTTGTGGCAACCTGTCTCGTGTATGGATCATCTCGGCTTTCTAGAAGATCCTGGTGTACCATTTCTGTCAGAAAATGATCCTCTGTTCCTGTGCGGGACTCTGTCCAAGCGAGCTTGTTCGAGCATAAACCAAAGAGGTACATCTTTGGCACAAGATAAGCTACCGTCTTATGATAATGAAACACGAGCGGCGCTTCCTCGTTGCCAGTATACCCCCCTTCATCCTCGCTATCGGGGTGTTCCCTTTCAATATCGTAGCCCAAGAAGTCTTCAAGATTGAGAATGAGATCTGAAGAAACTTGATCGCCGTTGAGATTGTACAGAGTCTTCAGGCTCGTGGAGTCTTCGTCGTCATCATCGTAGCGGTCATTTCTCTCAGCTTTGTAATGCGTTGTGTGTCCCATCATGAAGTAGAAGCCAGCCTGTGAACAGATCTCGTTCAAACAACGCCCAACGGCTCGATCGCGACCTTTGAGGTTTTTTAAACACAAGCTTGACTGTGTGTAGAGATGATCCAGAGGATATAATAGTCTATGAACTTGGGGGAAGTCAGTCCGAAACCTTGTCAGCATAGATTTGAGATGCTGGGTTTGCTGGAGGATGGTGGAGGCCGATGGCTCATTTTTCTCTGTCGCGAATAATTTGTAGGTAAGAACGAGTCGGTATCCAGACGTCAGTTCCTTGACTTCATGCGTCACATCTGAATACCAGGACATGGTTGTGAGATCAAACTTGGAGTTTTGCGCCGTTGAAAGACATTCTTTTTGAGATCCGAACGACAAGCAAACGTCACCAC